ATATATATATATATGGCAAGTGAACAGTCAGTAAAATAAAAAAAATGCACAATTTACAAGCATAGATCAAATAAACGGTGGTATTCAGATACAGAATTTAAGAATTAGGTGTAAAATAACACCGCATAGTGTTCACTGTATGAATTAACTTTAGGTTAATCTTTGTTATAGAGGTTTTGTTAATATTAGTGACCTTTTCAGCAGCACGTTTATAGGCTGCTGTCCCTTTAAATCCGATTGCACGGATCCAGTATAATGATACACATCCGATTTCTTTCTCATCTGTTTACATTAATTTAAGACATAACCGACTGCATTTACGAGAATGACCGTCGAGACGGGTACTATTGACATAATTCTGTGTGTGTCTGTTCAAACATGAGGAGATGCGAAAGACGACCCTGTTCGCGCGCCGTTTGCGGCAGAACTGAAGCGACGCTGTGCTAGATGCGGCTTGCGCGCGCTTCAGGTGTGAGACAGACAGCAAAGAGTTGTTTTCTGCAACTTATTGCACTTAACTCTTAACGTCAAGCAATTCTCCGCTATATGCGTCGAACTAAAACTGACGTTTTGCAACGTTTTGATTTTAGTAGCCTATAAAAATTATTCAGATATCGCACGCCCTTGCGATATGGATATTTCGATATATCGTGCAACCCTAACTGTTGGTGGAAAGTTTTCACCCCATATATAAATAAAACTGCGTACCCTCGGAAGAAATCCTGCAGGCGCCCCTGGATGGAAGGGTTGTTTTTTTTTTTAAGTAAACTGGAGAACTACAAACTGTTTTTCTTAATAAAACCCATTTAAGAACTGCTGGAAGTGTGTTGTACTTTGTGTTGAATATAGAAGTCTGTAGTTTGAATTTTGTATAAAGTGGTATGTTTCAATGCACTAGAAATTGAAGTTGTGGAGTTAACTAAATATTGGCTTAACAAATGATTTCTAAGTTCTCAAACAGCTGTGTAAGTTCAAACAAATCTAGTCAACCTCAAAGCGTACAACTGAAATTGTGCACCCACATATACTTTCTTATGTGCTGCCATCTATTGAATGTCTCTGGAGAACGACAAGCATCAGCTGTTTCTGGAGCATCGAATTTAGTTCTCAGGTACTATGTATGCATTATTCACAAATTAAACCTTTATTTTGGATGCAACACTTCTTGCAGGGTTTCTGTGGGTGTTACTGTGCCTTGTCTCAAACCAAGGGCGAAATTTTCTTCAAATGGAGCAGAAAGTCACGTCATTCTGTTTAAATAGTGCATGCACTGAAAAGTAATTTTGCTTTTCAATGCAAATATGTAAACCTTACATCACGCTTCCTTCAGTTGAAATTCTAATTTAGGATATGAAATGAATTTGTCCTTAAACATCAGTAAATGGGGTATGAACACTTATT